GTGAGTTGTTCTCAGCAGCTCACCCGTGTACACGTTTAGCAAAGAAAGTAACTTTGTCTCATTGTGTCTTTATTTCTCCTGGGTTTTTTACAGAGTTTTCCCCCAACACCACATTTCTTTGATGTGACAGGAATGATTCATTTTACCAACATGAGCTCATCACAATCGTTAACAACAGAGAAGTGAAACTGTGTGAACGCCCCTGCTCTCTTTCCTGCCTCAGGCCTGTTAGGGACACGACCATCTCAGTGATGCCACAGACAAACAGAGAAGCCACCATCAGTTGCAAAAACATCGGCACTGTTCTTAGTCATTTTAAGATAGAGCTACACACACAAAAACCACACACCACAAGATCCATCAACCTCCTCCTGAGGAATTTAAATTTTTCATATTTTGTGCCATTTTTAAAAATACAGCAACAACACTGGGAATAAGACCTGAGCCATCAGGACAGCAGCCATGAATAAATCAGGAAGACGATACTCCAAGATGAGCTGACGGAGTGACTCTGAAGATGAGACCGAACAGGAACATACAAAATCATGCAGTCTACCACTGACACACAGGCAGATGACAAAACATGAAGAAATCTTACTAGTGTGTAGAAAATGGCCATGTTAAAGCACAGCACAGAGGCCCTGAGCACCAGATCTATAGAAGCCAACATGACCCTGCAGCCTTTTCTCAAAAGCAGCTCGAATTCCTGTAAAAAGCCTGAGATGAGAGACATCATCTAAACTGTATGTCAGATTCCTAATGTTTTACAGTTTTTATATAATATCATGTTCATATCATGAGCATTAAATAAGTGTGATCTCACGTTCTCTTAAATGCTACTTTCCTTTGAACCTCCCACACTTTGTCCCCCCCTCTGATTCGTGTGAAAGCCTAATGCTTCCTATCATCACTCCACCGTCTACAGCCTCCTGTCACAGATGAACACTCTCCAAGTCCTATTTTTGGCTCTAATTCTTGGATCTGCAGGTGAGTGAAAGAGCATGTTTACATTATTATTATTTAATGGTATTTCTGTGGAAAAGGTTTCATGTTTTTTAAATGGTAATGTTACATTTGTACATTTCAGTTGGTTACCAGTGGATCCACATGTTTCTGTGCTGCAGAGAAATGATGCTGTTAACATGATAATATGAGACAGTGACTCACAGGCGATCAGAGAAATGTGGGATTTTTAATTTTAGGCACACTGACTCTTTGATGTTGCCAAGGTTTTTAATTATTTACTTATTTCTACTTTAACTTTCCTTCACTAGAAAATGTTGTTACAATAACCTGTGATCTACATTTTTATTTGAAGTTTAATTTTTACAGTGTACTTAAAGCAGCAGTTTGATAAAGTTAATATTGTTACAAAAAGGCTTTTGTTTTCAATGTTTTACAGCATAGTCACAATGGATTCCTTAAAGTGATTTCCTCTGTTACAGTGAGGCCCGTGACCTCA